TGATGCCAGGGGCTTAAGTGGAGAGCAAATGTTTTGAGAATGATGAGGGCAATGAATGTGCAAATGTGCTTTACACAATTGATGTATGTATGGATTGTATTAAGAGTTCTATGAGCCCCTAATAAAACGATTAAAAAAAAGAAAAAGAGGCAGATCCTCTATAAGATGGATGGACATAGTGGCTGCAACAATGAGCTCAAACATAAGAACAATTGTGGGGATGGTGCAGGACTGGGCCGTGTTGCCTTCTGTTGTCCCTGGGACTTCATGACATCTAACAACAAAAACAACAAAACAAAACAAATAACCCTTAGGCAACTCCAAGCTGCCTCATTGTGTTTTCAATCCGTAGTGGATTGAGTTGGGCTGCTAACCTCAAGGTCAGAAGTTCAAAACCACTAGCCAATCCAAGGGAGACAAGACTTTCTACCCCCATGAAGAGTTACAGTCTTGGAAACCCACAGGGGAAGGTATATCCTGTCCTATAGGGTCCCTGAGTTCCAGTTGACTAGATAGCAGTTAGCTAACCAGCTCCTTAGGCACTCAGGTGAGGCCGTGGGTAAGTGCTCAGCCGTTAACCGAAAGATCAGCAGCTTGAATGGAGCAGTCACTCTGGGCAAGAAAGATGTGGTGATCTGCTCCCATAAAGATTATAGTCTTGGAAACTCTATGGAACTGTTTTCTTCTGTCGCTATGAGTGAGAATGCAATCGATGGCAATGGGTTTGGTTTGGCTTAATTGTCTGTTTAAGTCCCATGAGGGTGCCGAGCTTTTACAAAGCAGTGAACAGAACTTAGTTCACGTCTAAGTTCTTTCTCTGTCAGGTCAGCAGCTGTCCCAGACTAGTTACAGTGACTATGAGTCCATTCTATTTGTTAATACCTATGTCTTTCTCTGCCTTTCTAAGAAACAAGAAACCTCAGGGCTACCTGTCTCCCGGACCCTGACTCCAGCCTAGCCGCACAGCTCGGTTCACACAAAACTGGGCTTTGCAGAGGCAAGAAACCAGGTGCAGACCCTTCCCACTTTCCTCCCCTGCCCCTCCCCAAACCGATCTTGGTCAGCGCAGACGACATATTAAATGAGCTTATCTGCTTCTGTAGACCTAACTGCCCAATCTATACAGTCTCAGTACAAAAGCACTCTATACTCTGCAAATGTTTGGGCCTTAAAAAAAGAAGTCACGGGTGGCTTGTCTGACCACAGCAAACATCTTCCAGCCTTGGACTTTACCCGGGTCCTCTGTTTATGTAGCCCAGCAACTTCTATCTGGATCACAGGAGGAATCTTGATATTTATAACATTTCAACCCCACTAAACCCCTCAGCCTGGCACGGCTCTGTGCTGTTGACCATGTCTCCACTCACTGCTGCCCTTTCCACCAGTTTGGTCACTGGAATGCCCTTTCTTGGGAAGCAACTGCCCACCTCTCATTTGCTGCCTTGATGTTTCCTTCATCTCACCACTTCACCAGTCCCTGAAGCTAACCCAGGACACTCCCCGATCTGAAGCTGTTTCATGTGTAAGCTCTTCATCACCACACCACCCCACTGTTCTCCACAGGCATCCCCATATCACCCCCTGTATTATGTGCCCTGAAGAATCAGTTGGCATTCTGCACATTCCCCATGTTGCTCATCCACCCTTCATGGAGCTCTGGCACCTTGTCTCTAGTCACCCCCATACTTTCCTGAGTACTCGGGCATGTGGTTCAAAGGTTTCTGCTCAATCTCAATCCCATCACTATCCTGGGTGACTTTAGTGTTTAACCAGTTTACTTGGAATTAGAGTCTTGCCTCCTTGGCCACTGGGGAAATAGAGAACTTGAAGGAAGTAATTCTCACCTTTCTCACCTGCTGTCTACTTAAAGACATCCCCAGTGTCCACCCTTGCTTCTCAGTACCAAACATCCACTGCCCTCAAGTCAATCCTATTTAGGGATTCTGAGACTAAATCTTTCTGGGAACAGACAGCTTCATTTTTTTCCCACTGAAGCAGCTGGTGAGTCTGAACCATCAGCCTCATGGTTACCAGCCCAACACCTCACCTGTAGCCCCACCTGGGATCTAGCCTCAATAGAGGAGGTATTTCTTCCTCCATTTGGAAGCTGTGTTCGGCTGTCTAGAAAAACAAAACCTCATATCGGTATAAAAAAGAACTTTATATCAACAAGTAATTTTATATCAAGAAGGCAAGCAAGCCCA